CCAAGGGTTCAGGCAATCCACTCACCTCAGCCTCCCAAAGGCGTGGGATTACAGGCTGAGCCACTGAGCCCGGTTGGGTCTGTTGTTTATGAGGAAGTGGTCGACTCGTGTTTTTTTTTTTCTCGGCCTCCTGCTGTTACTGAAAAACATCCTTACACACCCTAAGGGGCACCCTTTTTGCTGCAATCTCACCTCCATTCTGCCTATGAATAATTTTTGCCGTCAAGTGCCATCATCCATTTGCGCATCTATTATCTCAATGAAAGAGGGAACATTCTCAAGCCTATGCACACAATCCTTCAAAGTTAGGGAAGGTCCGTCAACAGGATCCATGGGGCTTTGCCTCCGTCATGGCCGCATTTTACTGGGGCCTTGCTCCCAGCCGGCATTTTTCCTGTTTTCAGGTCTCTTTTACTTTACTTTTACTAGTGATTGCGGTTCCCGACAAGTAATTCTTTAATATTTTCCACCCTTGAGATTAGAGAACACCAAGAGTGATCCCTCCTGTTTGCTCTTTGGTCTAAATGCAGGGTGAGATTTGGGTTGACTGAGATAGGGAGTCTTTCTAGGCTTGGTACTAGCAATTTGAAACTAGATCCTTATTGGTGCTTTGTAGCATACAAGGACTCTTAACGGCTAAAAATATTCTAGCTTTTAGTGCCTAAACAAGCTATTGAGATTTCTATTTTTGCCAAAAAAGACTATCCATTTCAGCTATGACTGCTTAGAAAAGGTGACCTGGCCTACTGTGGGACTTTCTTTTTTTTGCAGCCCCAAGGCTCTGTTATTAGGTAGCATTTGTGGCCATCCATACATCTACTGCTCCCAGGTAAACCCTCTCCTTATCTGCCCCATGTACAAAGACTTTGCAGCTCTCTTGAAGTCCTTCATGATGCTCTTGTGCCTTTTGCTTATTGCCATCTATCAGTGCTGTCTGATCTCTGTAGAATCAGTCACTGACCTATGAACAAGGCCACCGTAAGCTGATATTGTCCTCCAAGGTCACAAAACCACAGGCCCTAAGGCTGCAAACTTCTTGTTCAAGGTCAGTAGTTAAATTTAAATGATGACTCAGAATTAGCCTTTTCAATCTAAAAAATGCCCTGCTCTTTTATTAAATAAAACCAAGGCTGAGAGCTATAGGACCAGCTCTCTCCAAAGCCTCTCCTTGTGAATATATAGCTCGTGTGCATTTGTTCTTTGGTTTTGGTTCACTCATATGTAGGCCCATGCCCCAATTGCTTGTGTGTCTGACAATTTGTTCTCAAACTCTAGAGTCTTCTTGCTCCCCCCATCCCTCACCTTCCATCCTTCCACACAGGGGAAGGTCTTTTCTTGTTCATAGACCCCTCTGTCAGCAGGCTTGCATCTAAGGGACAGAGCACGGAGCAGAGTTAAGCATGTCTCAGTTATTCTCCCCAAATTTACCAATCAGATAAGGTACTTCACTTCTTCCAGGGCAGAGTGAATTAATGAGCAAAAGGAGAAGACTAGGAGGTACATGCGCGTGGAAGAGAACAAGTATCTCCTCAACTGAATTATACAGTCATTTCCTCATGCAAATTAAAAGTGATTCTATTCAGTTGAAGTTGCCAGATTTAGCAAATAAGAATATAATACTTCTAGTTACATTTGAGTTTCAGATAGACAGTGGCTACTTTTCTTAGTATAATTATATCCCAAATATTATATGGGACATAGGTATAGTAAAAATTATTTGTTTTTTTATGTAAAATTCAAATTTAACTGGGCACTCTGTATTTGATTTGACAACCCTCTACTAAGTGCCAGGAACTGTGTTAGGTGCTGGTACTATAATGAAGACATGAGACTTTGTCTTAACAGGGATAGACAGAAAATGCAATACTTTTGGTGACAGATAAGCAATTAAATTCAAAAGGTTGTCTGCTGAGCACCTCTTTCTAACCATCTGTTGGGGGATAATCAACAATATCCTTACCCCTGACCATGAAATGAATTTGCATTTATTCACATATAGAATTAGGCTGACTTTGACACAATACATTTCAAAGCTATTCATATTCAACTGAGTCTTTCTTGTGCTGATGACTTGGCTAGCCATGGAAAAATAAAAAGTGAACCTAGCTACTTCCTTCCCTAAGATACTTAGATTACCAAGGAATACAGTCAAAGGGATAGAAAATCACACTTCACTATGACAAGTTCTGGAAGTGAAGAAAACAGAAGAGTTATTGACACACAGGAGAGGAACACCTAGCTCAGATTTGGGAGGTCAGAGAAGACTTCTCAGAAGTGGCACTCACACTCTACAATTACTAGTTTAAAATGACCCTGCACTATAAATAGACTGGGTATTGTTTAAATAGGCAACTTAATTTAATTTAAGTAAAAAGATATAACCAAAACCTCTTCCCCAGAATAGTGGAGAAACCTCTAACCAGGGGTGACTAAGGACATATTTGAACACATCTGATCCTTTTCTATTGTCATTCTGCTCCTTATTGTTTGTTGGTTGTTCACTCATTCAGCAGGTATTTATTGACAAATCAGTATGTGACAAGTGGTCTGCTAAGCATTAAAAACACAATGAGGAACAGATCAGACACATTTCCAGTCCTTGTGATACTACAATCTACTGAGAGAAATAGATAGTATACAACCAATTTATCTATAAATACATATAGAAAGACAAAATTTGGTAACTTCCATGGAAGACAGAATGAAGTGCTACTTTTTAAAAAAGAGAACCCCTTTTCTTCACATGCTCAGGGTTGACCTCCCTGAAGATGGGGCATTTGATCTGAGATTGTCTTGCATTTCTAATGTAATGGTCTCTTTGAGTGGTCACAAACTTTATCTTGGTAGTTAGATTTCTGAGAATGATTTGTCTCTTCATCTGAAATCTGCATTCCCAGCAGGTGTGCTATCCCTCTCAAGGAGACAAAATTTGTCAAAAAGATTTGACAAAATTTGACAAAAAGATTTTTTAAAAATCCTACCCTTTTAATGCATAAAGCACAGTTATACATATAACACCTAATGAGATTATCAGTGGTATTCAAATTTCATGGAGGAGGGGAGTAGCTAAAAAAAAAAAAAATGTCTAAAAAGGTTTTTTAGGGTAGTGGTAATGAAAAAAAAAGCTTGAGAAACACTGGTTCAGAGTTTTGCACAGTCTATTCAACAGTCCCTCAAAAAATATTCATTAAAGGCCCACTTTCAAGAAAGAACTGTCAGAGGAAGGTATATATAATGACAGATAAGACAAACATGAGCTCTTCGATGTTAACAGGTGAGAAGACCCCAAACAAGCAATAACGTAGAAAGTAATTACCAATTGTGATAAACGCTGTGAAAAAAAGCAGAGAGGGCCTGAAACAAAATAATAGGGTGTGACCTCTTTGACTGCAAGCAAGGTAAGGGAAGACCTTTCTGAGAAGGGCTCTGACTTTAAAACAGGGGTTCTTATTTGTACAGTTGTTCATTCATCTCCTAATTTGCACAGATCTGCTTGAAACTTAGGGGCAGCCCATTCTGCTAATCTGTATAATTTTGTCACATTCCTGTTCAGAAGCCTCATGTGACTTATGTAAAGGACAAAAAGGCTTTTGCATACCTTTGACTTTGTGTGGTTCACATCACACTCATGAGGTGAGTCTATATTAAGAACCTCATGTGGAACCAAAGGCTGTGTGAATTCAAGGTAATACAGGGGTTTTCCATTTGAAAAAGGAAGAAGAGCTTATCTGAATGCTAGCGAAGCCACAGCTTGGCATTTCCAAAGAACCCAGGCACAGCCTTGGAGACATTTCTCCTGAAAGACCTGAACTGTTGGAAGATTAATTCCAGCTTCTAAAAATGCACAGCTGCTAAGACTGTTGTACAAATAGCTTTTAGGAAGGCAGCCATGTTCATAGTTTTAGACCATAAGACAAGGTATAATACTAAGCTCATCTTCTCCTTTTCTAATTCTCGCAGGTCTCATCTTAGCAGCAAGCTCGTATCCTCCCTCTTGGAGCTAAGCCTGGCTTTTGTGGAGACAGACTGGCCCTGCGCTGCATCAGGCCAGTTCCCCATGCTTCTGTGGCTGCTGCTGCTGCTGCTGCTGCTGATCCTAGGTGAGTAGATGGGCCAGGCCGGGACTGTGGCCTCAGTTGCTACATCAGCCAGGGGAGAAGCCAGGGATTTTTTTATTTCTGCTTCTACTTGGGGTTCAGAGACAAATAGCAAGAGATGGGAAGTGAACAGAGCTGGATGCCCAGGGCAACCCCAAGGCTCTGAATACGGCCACCAGAGCAAGCTGGGTATACTGTTCTTGGTTTCTTACCTGCGGGTTTTTTGCATCTTGTAGAAAACTTGGATTTTTCTTTCTGCCAAACCTTCACTCTCTATCCCTCCTACAGCCTCATACTAAATACTTTTTCAGATAAGCAGTTACTTCTAAAGTTTAGGCATGTGAGGGAAGATCTACTGAGAAACATGACTCCTTTCTTGTAGTTTTAAGCCAGAGTTTAAACAGCTATTGAAAAAGTATGAAGAACAGTTAGAAGTCCCCAAAATAAGGAGAAGATAAATTATTTTGGCAAGCTCTCTGGCACTCTGAGCTCAGGCTAGAGAAGAGAGGGAGGGAATGAAGTCCAAAGCTGCTAAGTAAATGATAGCAAAGACGTGAGCTGGGGCTGTGGACACAAGCCAGGGCACGTTTGTAAAATAAGAAGTTATTTTTTCACTATTGTTGTCATTGTTTAGAGGCTATGGGTGATATAGAATGGGAGCAAAGAAACAGGAAGGAAAACCAAAGTAACAGTTGTGGTCAGGTTATTGCAAAATTTTTCAGAGAGTGTCAGGTTGGAAAGATTTGTGAAGCATTGCTATGTGCTAATCTTTGAATTTTCGCTCCTCCACAGCTCCTGGAAGAGATCAGTCAGGTATGTTCATGCTTCTCTCTGCTCCTCTGGTCTTTGGTCATTGGTCCCCTTGACCTACACAGCCTGTCCCAATCCTTGTAAATAGGGCTGCAGGGATGTACCAGCATCAATGGTGAATTGTGCTGCTGCTCTGGGGTCACAATTGTTACCATGTTGGGTGAACAGACCCTCCTCTGACTTCTCCAGTCTCCCCTCTTACCTGAATGCCTCAGTGTAGAGAGGAAGGAAACATTCTCAAAAGGAAGGCAGATGCAAGAGGCTGATATTGAGACAACCTCAGATCTGATTCCCGTATAGCTCTCCCTCTGTGTGTCCAAGCTAGTGCCACTATCAAAGATCAGAGAAATAGCTTCCCTTCTGTGCCCATCAGTCAGTTACAATTCTATACCCAAGTCTGACTTCTTAAGCGACCCATCGTCTTCCATTCAAATTATTTATATCCCTCAGTTTTTGGTTGTGTCCACCTTAGATGGAGAGTAAGTGTGCCTTTCCCATAGAATCTAAAAGTAAGAAGGTATAAAGGTAACATAAGTAAAGAAATTTTCTTCATAAAATGTTAACAAATAGAAAGTGATTTTCTGGAGTCCGGAAACTTCTTCTGAGGCATATACAACCCAAATTTACCTTTACCTTGACAGAAATGTATAGGACAAGAGCTTTCAGAATCAACCCACCGTCTAAGGCTTTCACAGTGTTTGTCTAATTGCAAAGCACATCTGAGATTTTCTGAGTCCACACCAAGAACCCTATCTCCTAGATACCCTCTTCTCCACCTCCAGGTTAAGCAAAAGATGAGGAAGAACAGATTCTGTCTCAGACATTTCCCTAGCTTGTCTCTGTTCCATTTCATTTTCAATGCTGGTCCTGGTTGAGGGAATTAGCGCAGAAAACTACTGACTGTGGCTGGGGTCCCCCATTTCTGTGCTCATCTCCTGTTTACCTTCACCTGTCTTTATCTTTCTATCTCCTGTTCAGGGGTGGCTCCAAAGGCTGTACTTGTACTCAATCCTCCATGGTCCACAGCCTTCAAAGGAAGCAAAGTGTCTCTCACATGCAGGGAATTCCATTCCCCAGACCAGGGATATACATATTGGTATCATAATGGGAATTTGTTGGAAGAAAAACAGAAAATGATCACAATAAAAAATTCTGGAGATTACCAATGCAAGACCCAAAGATCCTCCCTCAGTGATGCTGTGCATGTGGAATTTTCATCTGGTGAGGAGGGGAAGGCGAGTCTCTAAAGTTGAGCAGCTGGGCAGAGTGTCTGGGGGCTGGGTTAACACAGGGAGACCAGGAAGAGATGGAAACAGGTGCAGGGTTGTTAGATGAGCTGACAACAGTGGTGAAGATAAAGGGATAGGGCAGCAGCAGGATGCTGCATTGTCCAACTCCTCTATCCAGAGAAGTGTGGGTGACCCAGAAGCTGCTAGGTAAAAAGGGGCACAGATCTGGGAAAGGTATGGGATAACATCCCTCGTTTGTTTAAAGACATGTGTGGAGATTTCTCAAGGACATTTTCTGGGAATTTGTTCACTCTCCTAGGGCAAGTAAGAATCGAGTTGGGGGGCTATGTGGCAAAGTTGGTGGGGACATTTGGAGCTATGGATGGGACTGTAGCTCTTGCCTCATGGGCAGAAATAAGAGTGGAGGTATAAGTAGCAGGGGATAAGCTAAATGTGCCCTTCTGCTCTTCGCAGAATGGCTGATCCTGAAGGCTTCATATCCTGTCTTTGAAGGAGAGAGTGTAGTTCTGAAATGCCAAGGGAAAGAAGAAAAGAGCATCACTAAAAAGGTTTATTTCAAGAATAAGAAACAGCTTCCTAAACATAACTTAGACTCCATCACACTGAATTCAGTCTCCAGGGATAATAGCAAATATCATTGCACTGCTTCTGGGGGAAATTTCTTCAAATCGTGGATGGTAACTTCAAAACCTCTAAGCATCCAAGTTCAAGGTAATGGTTAGACTATTGTGGGTTATAGAGTTTGGGAGAGAAACTGTGAGGATTGTGGGAGGGTACTTGTCAATGGGGATTTTATAAAAAGCCTCTCATGGCCCAGTCATGGGAGGGAGATTGTTTCATCTGCAAGGTTGTCTGATGGCTGGTGCTGAGAACACAGGTACACCTCTCCAGGAGCTCTGAGCCTCACTACTCTGAGGATTGTGTTTGCTCTTTTTATCAGAGCTATTTCTGCAGCCCGTGCTGAGAGCCAGCTCCTTCCAGCCCATGGAGGGGAGTCCCATGACCCTGACCTGTGAAACCTGGCTCTCTCCAGAGAGGCCAAGCATTCAGCTCCAGTTCCGCTTCTTCAGAGAGAGCCAGACCTTGGAATCAGGCGGGAGCAGCTCCCCAGAGCTGACAATCCCTGCCATGGGGAGTGAAGACTCAGGGTCTTACTGGTGTGAGGCAGAGGCAGAGACTCACAGCGTCATGAAAAGAAGCTTGAGATTCCAGATAAATGTGCAGAGTGAGTATCCGAGCGGCTGTGCATCCAGAGTCAGAGCTGGGGAGAGGAGAGCAAAAAATCCCTGACTTCTCCTGACCCCGGGGATGGTGGACATAACAGAGAGGAGCATCTAGCTATCTGGATTATCTGTCCCTCTTTAGGCTCCACTTTGGTTTAATTGCCCTAGAACCTTCTCTTCCACCTGAGTCATAGTCGTCATTGACCAGTTACTGAGTACTTCCCCCTGTGGGAATTAGAGAGAGGCACAGGATTTCTTCTCTCTTGAGTCAGCAGACATGTAGAAGCACAGCTGACCACGTGCAATCTTTAGAGACCCCTTTGGTACTTCCATTTGCTGACCTAAACTCACATCAAAACAGTCAGAAAAGAAGATGTATATGAACGAGGATAGTCAGAGAAGGACCTGGAGACATGGAGATAAGACTAGAGACATCTTGAAGGATGGGAGAAGGGTTTGGATTCTGAGTAAAGTCACTTCAGGATAGAAGATCTCCAGTGTTCTCTTAATTATGTGGTCCATTAGTGCATCACAAATTTCTTAGAGACAAATGTCTATAGAATGTGACTCCAGAAAACATTAGGTTTTGTGAGTGAAAGGATAAACTGAGGCAAGGTGGGCAGGTGCCAGTGCCGATGCCAAAGGAATAATGCAAAATTGTAACAAGGAAGAAAGTGAAAAGAAAGAAGTAAGTGTATTATTCACCTTTTACAGATTGGAAAGGGGGATGACACTCAGAGGTAAGTGTGGCTTCGAAGGGTTAAGATCTGGGTATATTTAAGGGTCTTTGGGGGAAGGGAGGTTTGGGCCCAGAGGGGTCTGGGCCAAAAGGAATGTCCAGGGCTACAGTCTCTGATGTTGATTGTAGCCACGAGAGTCCTAGATCTTGACATCCTCAGACTTTAGCATCTCATGACCTTGGGTGGTGGGCTAGATGGGAGGAGATAAAGGGAGGGGAATTTCCTGCCAGAGATTTGTCAGACATTTGCAATCCACAAAATTCTTGACCAAAAGGTGGTCTATTATCATTTCTATAGCTCTGTCCTTGTCTTGCATCTGATGGAGATTTGCCGACAGAGTGGGGTAATCTGCTGCTTGGCCTACAGTAGAATGTCTGAATGCATCCTAAAACCTGCCTATTGGAAATTTATCTTATCTATGTCTGACCTGTGCTGGATTCAAAGCGTGTTGGGGTAAAGTCTAAACAAAAATGGCTATGCTGAGGCAAAAAGACTAAACTAAGAATAAACTAAGTTTATTCTAGGTTTTTATAGGTACCTCCTTTCAGTGAGATTGTGAACCAAGGATGGGAATTGTTGTGGGAATGGGGAGGGATGTTGCTTCCTTTATGATATTATGCGTAATCAATCTCTTATTTTCTACTTTGGACTGCAGCCTATTGCACCTTGTGCAATTGGCCTATTCATGGCAGCTCCAGCTTTCTCTTTGACCTTGAGGTCACTGTCGTCAGAACCCTCATGTATCATCTTGTGGTCCTCCCAGGAGTTCCTGTGTCTGATGTGAAACTAGAGATCCAGTCCCCTGGAGGACAGTTGATTGAAGGAGAAAATCTGGTTCTTATCTGCTCAGCAGCCAAAGGTACAGGAATGATCACATTCTCCTGGCACAGAGAGGGAACACAAAGAAGCCTGGGTAGAAAGACCCAGCACTCTCTGTTGGCAGAGCTGCAAGTCTTCCCTGTAAAGGAGAGCGACTCAGGGAGATACTACTGTGCAGCTGACAACATTCATGGTCCCATCCTCAGCAAGCGGATTAGAGTCACTGTGAGAAGTAAGTTTCCAAGTTTTCTTTACACAGTCTTGGTTCGCAAGCCAGGGGTTAGGTTCTCTGTCTGCTGTGAAGATCATTTAAAGGAGGCAAAGAACCAGAGATGTGAATTTTTTTTTTTTAGTTGGAGTCTCACTCCATTGCCCAGGCTGGAGTGCAGCTCACAGACTCCCCAGTATTGACCTGCTGGGCTCCGGTGATCTTTCCGCCTCAGACTTTCAAGTAGCTAGAACTACAGGTGTGCGCTATCACACCCAGCTAATTTTTGATTTATTGTAGAGACGAGGGCTCACCAAGTTGCTGGGACTGGTCTCGAACCCACGGGCTCGGGCAATCCTCTCGCCTCAGCCTCCCAAAGTGCTGGGTTTATAGGCTGAACCACCGAGCCCAGCCTAGATGTGAAGATTTAAAACCTACCCAAGAAATGGCAAGATGGCAAAATAAGGTGAATGCAAAGGACTGAATGAGGATAAAAACAAAATGACCGGGGTTTACTTGTCACTGTTTTGGGAAAATCCTTCTTATTATTAGATGAGAAAAGTGTGATCAGTGGGTAACAGAAACAATGAAGGGTTATATCTATTCCTAGGCTCCTTGAGTGGGATTATGCTTCAGTCACAGTATCAGAATCTTTCTCTGACAGCCATTTTGCCCCCCTCAGTTCCAGTGTCTCGCCCTATCCTCACGCTCAGGGCTCCCAGGGCCCAGGCTGTGGTGGGGGATGTGGTAGAGCTTCACTGTGAGGCCTTGAGAGGCTCCCCTCCAATACTGTACTGGTTTTATCATGAGGATGTCACCTTGGAAAACAGCACAGCCGCCTCTGGAGGAGGAGCATCCTTCAACTTCTCTCTGACAACGGAACATTCTGGAAACTACTTCTGCGAGGCTGACAATGGCCTGGGGACCCAGCAAAGTCACAGAGTGAGTCTCAACATCACAGGTAAGCAGGATGTGCCCAAAGCAGTTAACAACCAACAGCAAGCCATTCAGTCTTCTCACAAACAGAGCTCCACTGGGCTATTTGCTGGTTTGCTATTGCAGAAGACTTCCCACTTTCTCTGCTTCCACCTGGAAAGTTCTGGGATTCTTCTTTGTGACTACAGATTCAGTAACTTAAACCATTCTTTACTTTTCTGTCATTGTCATCAAGAGCCATACATTCCACATGTTCTCTCTAGTAGAGGTACAGAGACTTTCCAAAATAATAGTTCAGCAAGGAATATGTCACAGAAAGTCTTATTTCTGAATTATTTTTTCCCAGGAACAAATGACCAGAACATTCCTTGCCACAGTTTTATTTGCCCATCTCGAGTCAATCTAAATTCCCACTTGGCTCCCTGGATCATTAAACACAGTGTCTCTCTTTGAAGATTCCCCTAGCCATCAGAGCAGCAGGACTCTTTTATGGCCTCCAGATTCTAATGTCCTGCCTAAACATCTCTTTTCCACATGCCTTCTGATTGGGGTCACATTTTATCTGATATTTTCAGTATCTCCTAACAAAATTTTTCTTCACCAGGGGCACCAAGACATCTTGTATTTCCCACATCCAGCCCATATTGGTAATTAGCAATGTGCCCAGTCACTTATGAGAGACCTCCTCCAGTCGAAGCCATGATTTTTACAAAATGCCCAGTGTTTAAATGGTGGGATAGGCCACTGGGACATAGGAAAAGATGGACGAATAAAAGAGATGTGTCAATGACTCCCAGTGATTCAAACTCTTACATTCTATGGCTTTTGCCGTGGTCTCTTGTTCTCCAAAGATTCCAAACTATTAGAACACTTATGACATTTTGGTTAATAATGATTCTTCATATGGACCAAACTTGGATTATGATTTAAGGTGGTTTTAAAACCTGGAAGTGCCAGACAGGGTGCCAAAACTGAGATTTCAGTCTTGAATAAAATATATAGATATATATTGTATGACCTTAATTTCCTCACTTATAAAGAGATTGAGCCAAGTAAAACATTCAAAAATTCCTCATCCCACAATGATTTCAATCAAACATCTTAAACATGCACATCATATGTTTATTACTTATGTATCTATGTGCTACTGTACTAACTTAATATGCACATTGAAAAACAGAGAAATATGCATTAAATAAAGGGATATTTTATGGGCCTTCTATCTGAGTCACACAATAAAAATGATCAGTTACTGAGTGCCTGATTTTTTTTTTACTTTTAAATTTTTTATTTTAAAATTGAGGAGTACAATTCAGGGTTAGGTATATAAATATTCATTATGCAGATACCTTTGTTGATGAGATGTGCCCCCCTTCTCTAGGCAGATTCCAACTACTGCCAATCCCACCTTCCTACCCCCACACCCCCTCAAAGTTTCCCACCACTGTCAATCATTTTCTTATAGTATTACGATAGTTGTTCAAGGTCCACTTATGAGTGAGAACATGTGGTACTCAGTTCTTTGTTTCTGTGACAGATCACTCAGTATTATAGACTCTAAGTCCATCCAGGTTGCTGTGAAGTTCATGATTTTGTTCCTTATGGCTGTGTAATATTCCATTGTGTATAGGTACTGCATTTTTTTATCCAGGCCTCTTTTGATGGGCACATGGTTGGTTCCATGTTCTTGCTATTGTGAACAATGCTGCAATAAACATACGTGTGCAGGCATCTTTTTTATAGAGTGAGTTGAGTTCTTCTGGGTATATTCCCTGTAGGGGGATTGCAGGATCATATGGAAGGTTGATTTTTAGAACTTTTGGGAATCGCCACACTGTTTTCCACAGAGACTGTACTAGTTTACACTCCCACCAACAGTGTAAAAGTGTTCCCTTTTCACTATATGCTCTTCAGCATCTGTTATTTTTTGAGTTATTGATGATGACCATTCTGACTGGAGTTAGGTGGTATCTCAGTGTAGTTTCAGTTTGCATTTCTTTTTTTTGTTGTTGTTTGTTTGTTTGTTTGTTTTTGAGTTGGCGTCTCACTTTGTCGCCCAGACTGGAGTGCAGTGGCCGCTCCCGGCCACTGCAGCCTCAGAGATATGAGAGTGTGTATCCCGTCCTGAGGAGAGGGACCCTTGAATAAAGTCACCAGGATTCACGTGTTTTACGTTTGCATGCCCAAAGGGGACCTGGGTCACTTAACAATGCTACACGCTTCCCGCTTGACCATTGCAATCCTGATTCACTCTTTTCCTTATTGACAATTAGTTAGTAGGACTTGAAAACCATTTCGTTGCCCTGTAGTTCTGGTCCTCTGACAAACTTTTCTGGTCACTCATCCTACAGCCAGCAGCTGCCTCTCTCATGTCTAGAGAGGTCCACACCTACTCATCTTCTATTAATGGCTTTCCTATAGGCAGATATAAAGATGGTGCATGAATTAAAACATCCTCGTACGCTCGTCCCCTACCACATCTTCCAGAGTTACTCCCCTGAATGAGCACGTGGTTTTTGGCAT